AAAAAAAAAAACCAAAAAAAAAAAAACTTAAAGTAATTATATAATTATAGCTAAAGTAGGAAGAATCTTAATTATGCAAAAGAAAAAAGCATAATATGATAAATAAAACGTTAAATGTTATTTAAACTGGTTAAATCTTAAAACATGAGATACAAGGAAGAAGCAAATATCTTAGGAATTTACTACCTATGAAAGGGCACACCTCACAGTATTTTTTATGGTAAACATAGGCATAGGAAGGAGCCAAATATTATCGGGATATATTATAATGAAGTTAAAGTTAATAATACTTACTAATGATTGAATATATCTTCTATCTGAATTAAGGGAAAAGGTAGAAGTCATGTGTTTTTTTATAAACATGAATTACTCGCTTAAAAAAAATTGATATTAATATGTAAGACATTATGTATGAACAATGTCAACTAATGAAAGTTAATGGCAGAATAAAATTGAAATTAAATATTCATTTTTTTTTTATTCTTTTTTTTTTTTTTTAATTCTTTTTTTACACAATTTTTAATTAACTGTTACACGATTAATAAATTGTCTTTAAATAATAAGAATATCATATTGGAGCTTTAAATTGGTTATATCGTAAAGGGCTTTTTAATCTTCACGAAACAAATTAAAGAATTTCATAAATACGTTTTTACTTAATATTATTTAAACATTTTTGTTGTAGAATTCGCAGGACCATATTTGATAAACATTTTACCTATACTCATTGTTGTAATATGCATTTACAGTAATGTTAAACTATTAATTTATAAATATCTGTGCAAGAATAACAATAAGAATTATTTTTATAATATATAATATAATAAGGGTATACGAAAAATTAATTCTCGATTTCATACAATTCATGCACTTAGTCAACAATAACTTGAGATTTTAATGAAACGATCTAGTCTTACGTTGTTATTAAAACTAATGGTCTTGAAATTATTATTGCATAAAGCATTTCAAGTCGTGTGATGAACTATCGCTTAATGATAATAATCATGCAGTCGCGCGCTCCCGCACATGTCCTGTACAATTATTTGTTATTCTTTTTAACGAATATATTTATTATTATTAACAAAACTTAAACTTGAATGTCGCACGTCTTTTTCACATTTGATTATAATCAAATCTACATGTATCATTATTACTTTCAAACATGTTATCTCAATGTAGTTAATAATATAGGTGAGATCAGTAGAACGTAATGCTTGGACATTTTTACCTTTATGTTAAATGTTTACTTGGTATATGATATGAACAAGGCTAATCATTTGTTAATATGAGTAGTGTTGAAATATTTAAGCTTTACTACTGCAATTAAGTGTAATGTATATAAAGAGTAGTAAGAAAGAGATAATCACAGTATCACGTTTACCGATATCGCGACGAAATGATTGAACAAATTTTGCACTTTTCTATTAGCAAATAAAAACAAATTTCTTT